CTGGTATAACAATCAGCCACAGCATGTCCCACATGGCGGCAGAGGGCACAAAAGGGTGGGATTCTCTCATAGACTACCTTATGGATGGTGATCTATCCTGCTTGGTTGAGCTCAATCTTCTCGATGAGCTCACCATAGAAGTCTACCTCAACACACACCCGTGCGACGGATAACCTCTTTCAGTTGGCCGTAGGGGCATCAACCTCGATCACATTGCAATACGACTGGTAATCAAGACGAGGGAAGAGAAATCACAAAGATGATGAAGAAGTCCAGGGAGACAGCACCAGACTGGGACAATAGGTGACTCAATCGATGTGGAGAAATCAGGGGTGTACTTAAACACCCGACCGGAACACCCACAGACGTTTAGATACGTCTTTAACCATGTCATATTATAGTCCTCTCTCAAGTCAAAGAATACTAGATAATGGTTGTAATTAAGATACTTGTAACTCTACCCATAAATCCCAACTTTCTTAAACCAATAGATAAGTATCGAAGGGAGGGGACAAAGAATGAAAACTTTAAATTAAGTGCATTATCGTATGGTCCTACTATGGAAGAATCATCGGGCTCAGGAATACTAACCGTGTACCCTCCCTCCTCGGAGCGTGTGATAGTCCCACGTTGCTTGTCCCGGAAAGACGGAAGCGATAGTCTCTGGGGTCACGCCTTGCTGGCGGAGGGGCCGGCGATCGCATCTTGAAAAGATCGGTGGCTGGTGGGGGCCAAAGTCAGATATGCTGGAGCCGAAGTTGAAGAAGATATGGGGATCGAGGATGGTCACACCGGGGGGCCCGTCGGGGGTTGAATGAAGGCTCCACGAGGTGGGGATGTGGTGCTGGGGGTAGAAGACGATGCCGGAAGTAGAGTCGGCAAGGGCACGGTGGCCGGTGGGAGGTTCGACGTAGTGCCCGTTGGGGGCTTAACAGCTCTATGGACTCCAATCAGTGGGACCGAGCTTCCAGTTGTTGGTGAAACAGGGCCCGTTGAAGAAACTGGCCTATAACCAAGGATTTCGGCCGATAAGGGGGCGTTGGCGCCGGTG